CAGGAACTGAGGGCCTGGCTATTGTGAGGTGATGTTGGGGATTGGGGCAGGGCCGGCTCCAGCATTTCTGCCTCCCCAAGCAAAATAAACAAAAACAAACAAACAAAAAAAAGCCGCGATCGCGATCGGCGGCGGCAATTGGAGGGGGAAAAAATAAAAAGCCGCGATTGGCGGCAGCAGTTCAGTGGCAGGTCCTTCGCTCCTAGAGGGAGTGAGGGACCTGCCACCCCCAAATTGCCGCTGGTGCCGCCCCTCTCCCTTGGCCGCCCCAAGCACCTGCTTTTTAAGCTGGTTCCTGGAGCCGGCCCTGAGAGGAACTGAGGCACAAAGAAGTTCACTGGTTTGCACCGGGTCACACCGGGAGTCTGTTACAAAACTGAGAACAGAAGCCAGGTATCCTGAGTCCCAGACCAGATCCGTACCCACAAATCAGTCCTTCTTCACTCAATCTTCGCAGGATGTCAACTACAGAGTAACAGGGAGTCAGTGGTGTTTCCGGGGTCAGGTCACTTTCCCAAACTCCGCCCTCTTCCTTTAGGCTTGTTTCTGATGAACCTGGCCCACTTGTAGCTGCTTTCAGAGACCAGAAGCTTAAAAGCCTCTTCGCAGCAACAGCTGAAAGAGTCAAACTCAGTCGCTATAGGAGACATCATGGACAAGTGTTCGATTCTCAGTATTTGGATATTTAATCACCTAGGTAAAGGGGCTCATTTTCAAAGGCGCCTAACAAATGTGTATGCACATCTCCTACCGAACTCTAAACCTATCCTCAAACAATTTCTCTAAGTCTCACCTAACTCTAACCTTCTCTATTACTTTTAAATCTTCTGGTGTAAGGCACCTAAACCCCTTAGTTTTGTTTGAAATTCCGAACCTTACATTGCAATGCACCTAGAGCCAGTTCTATGGGTCAAGTGCAGTTGAAATGTTGCCCTTGGATTTGATTCTCTTTCTGCAGGTGCTGCTCTGGGTGACTCAGTCCAGTCCAGAGAGCCTGAAGTTTCTAAATCAGAAGGAAACACTGTGTCGCTCAGTTGTTCTTATGATACCAGCTCTAGTAATGTCTATCTGTACTGGTACCGGCAGTATCCGCACCAAGCCCCGCAGTACATTCTCTGGAGTGGAGCGAAGTCCTACAGAGATCTCAGTGACACCGCAGCTTTCGCCCAGGAGAGGTTTTCTTCCCAGACTGCTGACAGCTCCACAGTTCTGAACATCACAGCCCTGGAGCTGGCGGACACAGCGGTGTATCTCTGCACCCTGCGTCTGGCACAGTGACAGAGCCTCACAGCAGAGCTGTACAAAAACCCTCCCAGCCCTGCTGCAGACAGACGTTAAGCACACTGAGGTGGGAATCAGCGTCCTGCAGGGGACTTGAAAGCGCTGTTGAAAACATACTGAATGTTGGTTTCAAGATACTCCTCCCAAACCTGAAATCCTCATTCAAACAGCTCCATTAAAACATCGCCCTTGCAGAATACACAGTGCATGGGCTTTGTCACTCAGGAAACATCGTAGGAATACTTTTCTCATTATAAACTGGGGCGAGTTTATGAGAAATCCTAACTGTGAAAACCTCAGTTTATTGACATATGTGAGATAACACTACGGCAATAAAAAAATATCCTATTTGTGCTTGGGTAAAGCGTGGTTCCAATGGACCAGAGTCAAATCTCTATCCGAACAACAAATAAAATTATATTTCTGTGTGATTAGTTAGAGAACTTGTATGAGTTTAAAAACATGAGTACAGACAGGGTCTCTTTGCATGTTGTGGAAAATCAATAGGCGTGCAGTGCTACCTACTGGCCGGATATATGAATACATTTTATCATTGGAAATCTTTCCATGCGTGCATGGACCAAGCCCAGCGGAGAGGGATTGTCTTGTTGCAGGTGCTGCGGTGGGTGACTGGGTGCCACCCGCAGGCTTGTCATTGAATGACCAGACAGGTTAAAGTGTTCTCCTACTGGTTTTTGAATGTTATGATTCCTGATGGCCCCTCTGCCATGTACACTGGCCAAACCGGACAGTCTCTATGCAAAAGAATTAATGGACACAAATCTGACATCAGGAATCATAACATTCAAAAACCAGTAGTTGAACACTTTAACCTGTCTGGTCATTCAATGACAGACCTGCATGTGGCAATTTTGCAACAAAAAAGCTTCAAAAACAGACTCCAACGAGAAACTGCTGAGCTTGAATTGATATGCTAATTAGATGCAATCAATTTAGGCTTAAATAGAGACTGGGAATGGTTGAGCCATTACAAACATTGGATCTATCTCCCCATGTAAGTATTCTCACACTTCTTATCAAACTGTCTGTACTGGGCTATCTTGATTATCACTTCAAAAGTTTTTTTTTCCTTCTTACTTAATTGGCCTCTCAGAGTTGGTAAGACAACTCCCACCTTTTCATGCTCTCTGTATGTTTTTATATATATATCCTCAATATATGTTCCATTCTATGCATCCGAAGAAGTGGGCTGTAGCCCACGAAAGCTTATGCTCTAATAAACTTGTTAGTCTCTAAGGTGACACAAGTACTCCTGTTCCTCTTGAGGAGAGTGATCACTAAAAACAGCGATTTTGGCGTGATTAAGTTGTTAAAGCATCTCCAGTAAAATGACACCCCTAGAGA